TCGGCTCGCATTTCCAATGTCGCATGACTCAACCCGCAAAACAAGTGAGCTGTCATGTGTAATTCTTGCCGGCTTATATCTGCAGTGAGAAAACACGCTCGTCAGGTCACTCGACTCTCAAGGTACCAATTGAGTGCAAACACTGCATTTGGCCGCCGATCGGATCAATTCGAGTGTTCAATACACTTGACCCCCACATACCCCTGGTTTGGCATCCACGGAGTCGCGTATTTGCAGATTGATGGTCCCCCCCCACCCCCCTTTTCTCCCTGTTTTTCATGGAAAACGTACTGAATGTTCAGCAGCTTATTTGAAGATTTCTTTGGGTTGGATTTTATTTTTTGGATAATTCATTTCAATGAGCACTACAGTAATTCTATTTGGATTTTCGCTATTGGCAGACCGGCCTGATCCCTATCCTAACAGGGCTTGATGGTTATACTGATTCACCATGCGGCTGGCAGGAAACAAGACACACAGCAATATGCACATGCACACACACACACAGGATATGAAAGTATAGCACGGAGGCAGATAAAGACATTAATAAAAGAATCGCTTCGTCATTCTTTCCTCCTTTAATTCCTCAAAGCTCACATTTGTTTCAATCAGAGCATGCAATCCAGATTTATGACATCATAACAAGATGCACTTCCTTTTTCCCCACTGCGACCAAGCTCCCTTTTTCCTTGCTGCATTTATTTATTTTTTTTGCATCCATCCATGCATTATTGTCTTGACTTTGCTTGCTGCCCGCCGTTAATCTCGCCGCCCTGGTCTTCTTTGTCACGTTGCTCTTTTCTGTGTGAACTTTGCGAAGATGAACTGAGCTCGTCCGCATTGACATGGAAGCCCGCCGGTTCTGGTGGTTGTCATTCCTCACCAAAATGGACAGTAACGAGGTGAAAAGGCATTCAAGTACTCACAGAGGGTTTATGAGGAAGTGAAGGGCACTGGATTCATTCTTCTTACTTGTTCAACGCATCATTCCAAAGAGATGATGGGTGGAGCTGGAAGAAGTATTGAAATATTTTCACTCACAGACGCAGCATTTTATCTCAAAGTCGCACAATTACACTTCAGGGCAGCATTTCCTAATCCTTACTGAGCCAAGGTTTCTAAAGACAAAAAAAGGCATTCTTTTTGGTACCAATTAAGTGATATTGCATAGTTTTACATGGTGCATATCACAATCTCTCACTGGAAACAGTTGTTGGATCTCTTCATGTGGCGCATGCAACGGACACATCAGCAAGCACAAAGCCTTCCCAAAGCCACACTCACAACTTCACCAAACATGCAAGTGTGTGCCACTTTTCAGAAGAGTGCAGAAGTTATCCCTGATTCACACTGTAAAGCAAATGCTAACACTGCAGCTCTGCTTACCTCTGGACTGTGTAGTCGCTTGAAAGTGGACGCTCTTCACGCAGCCAGTCACAGGAATGTTGACGTGTCGACTGGGGAGAACTTCTCCGTACTTTAGCCAGCACAAGCTTATTGGTGGATGTTTGTCAACCAGTCGGAGAAGCTGTCCTCCAAGTAGCTGATAAAACCAACGGATCCAGAGAGGATCCCGATACCAGGTAATTCCTAAAGTAATATTTCTCACTCATCTTTCTCTTTGTATTCCAGTGAGTTGAGGCGTATCGGAAATTGGTTGAAATGGATTCAATCAGAGCCTTCCCTCACTTTGACGTCGCAGTTTGGCATTGGCGCAGGCCACTGATTGATGACTGCTTTGACGGGCGAGAGTTTTAATCCGCTAATGGACAGCTAGCCGAATGGACGTGAGTGCGAATATGTTGACAATTCCACCAACCTCCGCCAATTTCAATTTGATCAACGGTTACGAGCGTGATGAGTTATCCTGGTTCCTGCTGGTGATCGGTGTGCAGCCATCTGATGATGATTGATGCCTCCATTGAAATAGTTCAAAAGTGATTTTCTTTCTTGTCATAACAAATCAAGAGTGGAGAGTTTTTTTACAGAGTACAGGACAGTCCACATGTAAAGAGTTATGCGCCTGCAGTGTAGTATCACATTTTGCATGTTAGCATTAAGCTAGCAAAAAAAAAAGATATATATATTCTGTTGTGTGTGACAGTATTTCCATTAACTTAAACTGGGACTGACAAATAAATAGCCCTTTAAAAAGTGTGTTTTCAAAGATTAAATTACATATTTGGGAAAACTAAAATTAGATTGCAGTGGACAAGGTTTAGAAAATCGATCGCAAAATGTGATCAATGACAAGGAACGTGTTTTTTGTATGCTTTTGAAAGAACACAGAAAACAAGTGGGTGTTTTTTTTTTCCATTATAAATTCTAAACCAGCTGGAACAAAATACAAAAAAACCTGATACATCAACACACCACATGAGCGTACCACAAAATATACAGTTTACAGTCAAGAGAAGTAAAGCACGGCGAATCTCTTCCAAATAATATACCTTAAAGAGAAAACAAAAACAAAATTACAACTCAGTAGTCCCAAACTTGACGAAAAAAAACGAAGCAACAAGCACATCATTGGATATAAAACAGTGAATAAAACGAGAACAAACACTCGGGAGTTCAAGCCTGCCGTGACAGCTTTGCTAACAGTCAAGATCAGTAGACACACACTGAAATCCAAAATCAGATGATGGATTGAAGTGACCCCCTTTTTTTTTTTTTTTTGTATTTTTAACTCAAGGCCGTAAGTTCCAGTGTACAACAAAAGTCAAAGGCCACGACAAGCCATTATCAGAGAGCACAGATCATCAGTACCCCAACCCCCCCCAGAAAAAAAAATCAGATCCCGTCTCCGAATTGCTGCTGTGACATTTTCTAATGCGTAAAAAAAAAAAGAATCCATCGAGCAGTAAACCCCCAGAAAAAAAAAACACATTTGGCTCCCTTCCCTTCATAACTGCTGGCGCCTCAAATGACGAGTGATTGTTCCAGCTTCTCCCCACCCCTCATCCCTGCAATTTCAGTTGGCCTTCTGAATGGTTTAATCCTGATTAAATAAAAAAAAAAGAAAAAAATGGCTGCAGCTCACACCTACGGTAATCGGTTTTAGAATTACAAATTTGATCAAAAAAGAGACAGTCAAAGGGAAAAAAATGGACAAACTAAATGTAGATATTGATTAAAAGATATGTCGCAAATGGCTTGACTGTCCTCTGACCTCACAAAAAAAAAAGGCAAGCAACCAATTAATAAAATCCTCAGGGGGGACAAATAAACCATTTTGAAGGCTTTCCCAAAATTCTCTCAATGCTACCTTTATTTTTTTCTCAGTATTTTTTTTTTAAATTCAGTCTTGTTAGCCAAATTATTAAGAAGCCATGCCCATTTTTTCCCGACATTTTTTTTTTTTTTGCTTCTGGCAGCCATTTTAGCCATTTGCAGGAGTCTCCCAAGACAAATCTACCGGCACTAAAACACCAACATTTTGTTTTTGTTCAACTTTTGGGTGTACCTTGGGATCAAAGATTATATCCGTGTGGTTACTAACGCTAGCTTGATTCTAAAATTTCACACCAAATATCTGTTCAAGTCCACACATTGTTCAGCAGAATGGTCCGTTCTCCCAAAACAAACAAACAAACAAACAAAAAGGTGTCGGTGTTTTAGGCCGGATTCACACTGCATGGTTGAAGTAACAATTGGGATACTATTGAAAACAGTGTACATAAGTGTGATGTTTTCAAACGTTGCTGAAGCAGAGCAGAAATGCAACACGGTGTGCTCGATTCAGAAGCAGACAGTCATGATTACAGAGGTGGGAAAAGACGGAGCGTCCCCTAATTTCACACATGCGCTGCAGCGATTTGTTTGAAGTGCAGGCTCCGAGGCAAAATAGTAGTCGCCGTGTGATGATGCCGTTCGAATTTTTAAATACTTTTGATGCCACAGCATTCCACTACTCTGCCAAGGAATCACCCAAAGTTGTGATTCGTTCATGAAAGCGTCATTTCGTGATGCCACACATGCAGCGCGGATTGGAGAGTCGATGGGGGGGGGGGGGGGGGGGGTTTGG